TTATTGAGTAGCTAATAAATAGAAGGACGCAAAACATGGAAACTTGTTCTAAACTTATTATAATCTACAATGGTATGTCCACCTGAAATACACATCATTATTATTCCTTGGCAAAAGCTGATAAAATTGTCTATTAAGCTTGTCTTTAATCTTTCATTTCTAACCTGGTCCTAAAATGAAATGCAATGAAAATTAAATTCCTAAAGCACCAAATGAGTTGAAATAATCTGGAAATCACAGTGCAGCTAAGGTGGGCCTCAAATTCACGAGGGTCTTTCTGTTTTAGCTTCCCAAGTGTTGGGATTACAGGCATGAATCACCATGCCTGGATCAAAGGTTTTTATTTTGTGGTGTGTGTGTGTGTGTGTGTGTGTGTGTGTGTGTGTGTGTGTATGTGTGTATGTGTTTATTTTTTGATGTTGGGAATTGAATCTATAGCCCATGCATTCTAGGCAAGTGTTCTACTACTGAGCTATATTCCCAGCTCTAATGATCTTTAATTTGCTGAAACTTAGGTTTTAAAAGAAATCCCTATAAAGGGGGCCAGAGAGATGTCTCAAGGGGTGTCCTAGTTTGTTCTTCATTGCTGGGACAAAACACTCTGACCAATACCAACTTGGGGAGGAAAGGGTTTATTCAGCTTACATCTCCCAGGTTGTATGTAGTTCATCAGGGAGCCCAAGGTAGGAACTCGGGGCAGGAACCTGGAAGCAGGAGCTGGAGCACAGGCCATGGAGGAACACTGCTTACTTGCTTGCTCCCCTGGCCCCTGCTCAGCCTGCTTTCTTATGCATCACAGGCCCATTTGCCCAGGGGTGGCACCACCCACAGTGGGCTGGGCCCTCCCACATCACTCATCAAGAAGATGCCCCTCAGACATGGCCACAGGCCAGTCCAATAGAGGCAATTCTCTGATTGAGGCTCCCTCAACCCAAGTGTGTCAAGTTGACACTAAAGCTATCCAGCACAGGGGGTAAAGACACTTGCGGCCAAGCCTGATGTCCTGTTTGATCCCTGGGACCTACATGGAGGAGAGAACCAATGTTCCAGGTTGTCCTCTTACCTCCACACATGCACTGTGGCATGTGTGCCTCTCCCCCAACTAAATAAAATGTAATAAAAACATTTAAAGATCCTTATTTTTTAATATTTTATTTATTATTTTTATATGTATTGAGTGTATTGCCTGCATGTATGTGAGTGCACCCGTGTCATGCAATGCCATGGAGGTCAGAAGAGGGTTTCAGATTCCCCTGGAACCGGAGTTAAGGATGGTTTGTAGCCACCATGTGGGTGCTGGGAATCGAACCTGGGTCCTCTGTGAGAGCAGTCAGTGCTCTTAACTGCTGAGCCATCTCTCCAGCCCCTAAAGATCCTTATTTTTAATAAACAGGACAGGGAGATGGCTCATAAGGTAAAGGTACTAGCTGTGCAAGCCTGATAATCTGAGTTTGATCCAAGAACCCATGTAAAAGGCCAGATGTGGTGGTTCACATCTGTAATCCCAGCATGCCTAAGGCAAGATGGGAGGAAAGGACAAGAGAATTGGTGGAAACTGACTAGCCAACCAGCCTGGATGACTCAGAACAGCAGCAGAAACAAGGGAGCCTGCCTCAACAATGTGGACTGTGATGACAGACTCCATTTGACCTCCCCATGGGTGTAGTGGTATGTGTGGCCACGGCTGTGCATGTGCATGGATGTATGGGCAAGCATGCAGACCCAATTTTAAAATTCCCATAAAATTCTGTAATAAATACACTTTACACACTATCCTAAAATAGAAGAAAAGTTTCTCTGAAGTAGTCACTGATAGAATCCAGTTGATCGGGAGAAAACACCAGGACACAGATAAAACTCCATCAGCATAGAATTTATTAGCAAAGGAACACATGGGACAGATTCCCTTCCAGGCAGGGAAAATGTCTGCTGGAGTCTTTTTAAAGGGGGAGGCTTCTGCTTCCTACAGAAGGCGGGAAGATGTATTTTTTTTAAAGTTGGGGGGGAGTGGGAGAATGGGACTGTTAAAACCTGTCCTCTTTAAGAGATCAAAGGGGAAGCCTGCTGTGTTGGCCAAACAGCGGAGAAAAGTCCGCTTCTCTGGACTTCAAAGACCAAGGTGCTTATCAACTCAGTTCCCTTTTCTCAGGAGCTTGAGAAGTCCATGAGACCCTGTTGGTGAGGGGGCGGGGCTATCTGAACCTTAACAATCACTAGTAGGCCACAAAGTGAATTATGGTGATCAGAAAGTGCAAGGGAACTGTTCTGCAATGTATGTAGAATTCCTAACATGCCTTATAGAATTTGCCAATATGTTCAGTTAATAAAGATATTAGAGCAGAACAAATATTCTGTTTTTTGCTTTTATAATTGAGGAATAGTTTCAGGAGTGTAGAATTTATCCATCAACTAAACAAAGTGTTGCTATGAATCACTGTGTTAATCGCTGTGGCTGTATCACATGAGTGCCAAAAAAAAAAAGAAAAAGGAAAAAAAAAAAAAAAAGGAAAAAAAAAAAATTATTCCGGAAACAAAATGAAAAGGACAATACAACATGACAAAATCT